AACCATATTAGGTTGATTCTGTTTAAAAAAGTTGTTTATTTCTCAAGAAAATTATATGCTTGTTTTAAAACGTTTTATCTGTGTTTCCTGGCATAATCTAAGTTCTGTTACAAGCATACAGCTAAAACGGAAATGGTGCAGGTTACCACCATTTTGCAGCTAGCTATGGTCTACAGGCTACACAGAGAAACACTGTTCCCAAACCCCCAAATAAATATTCATTCACAAATATCAATTCTACTGGGGAAAATGCTAATAGTAGCCATCTTCATTACCAGAGATCACTGTACATGAAATGTTATATCATGTTTAATGGCATAAAAGTCTGTAACATATTACTTAAACTATAAGTTCCTCCAACAAGACTTGGTAAGAGTCTTGGTAAGAGTCTACCTCATGCTCTAAGTACTGGGGACATAAGGGACAATGTTTGCCTTTTGGAAGCTTACATTCTGATGGAAAGGAGGATAAGTAAGTTGTACAGTGTAGGGTAAACACAATAATAGCAAGAAGGAGGGGATGCATTTTAGAGAGGATTCAGGATGAGAGCAAGACTTAGAAGAAGGAGAAATGAGGTAGAGAGCAGTAAGGGTTTAGAGCTAACCATGATTATTGAGAAACATAAAAGGGGGGGGGAACCTATACTACATAAAGATACACATGGACCTGAAAAATAGAATGCTAGCTATTTTTTAAATTTCCCCAAACTTACCATTTAAATGCCAGTTTGGACACTTAACATACCTTGAATACATTAATTTTCATTGCATTTATTTACTTATTTTAGTGTATTGTAGGGTTAGTATTAGTATGCCCATATGCACAGAGATGTGAATGTGAAGTCAGGTCAACTTATAGGAGTTTCCTTCCACAGTGTGTACTCCAGGGATTGAATTCATGTTGTCAGCAAGTGCCTTTACCCAAAGAACTATTTCACCGCCCCTCACTGTATATTTTTATATATTACTAAATTTTTTTTTTTTTTTTTTTGGTTTTTAGAGACAGGGTTTCTCTGTGTAGCTTTGTAGACCAGGCTGGCCTCGAACTCACAGAGATCTGTCTGCCTCTCCCTCCCGAGTGCCATTTATAACAATGGTACTAGATGGCCAGAGAATTCTCAGAGAGAATGAGGCTTAGGGAAGAGGAGAAATCAGCATGAAAGAGATGACATGCCTGTCCATCAGGCGACACAGTGGACCATCACAAGCAATCATCACCCCAGAGTTCTTGGAAGGAGCAGAGAAAAGAACATGACTGTTTCCTCAAAGTCAGAAGACACGGCTGCAGACAGCTTACCCCGTATTTCTAGTACACAGAGAAGGGAACTGCCTTCTGGTTTTTAGGGTTATTTGAAGGGGTCACCAATGGGGGAAAATCTGCTCTTAAAATTTACCCTTTTCTCACAGTGATTAACCTCACAGTGAAATTAAAAATCACTATAAAGAACCAGGGATGAAAGTACAAACGAGACTCTAAATCTCATGTCTGAAACTGTGACGCTTCATGGTAAATCACACGCAAGGTTCTGCATGATCACTACATATGCTAGACATGAGCAGGATAAGCAACCATTCCAAACAGTTTCTGCCTCAATAAAACCCTACAATTCAAGTGAAAGGCACATCTCTCAAATGACTTAGAAATTCCACTCAGATGGAAATGAAGGGAAAGGCCGGTCAGTGGTGGCGCACACCTTTCATCCTAGCACGAGAGGTGGGTCTCTGTGAGTTCAAGGCCACCCTGGTCTACAGAGTGAACTCAAGGACAGCTAGGGCTGTTACAACGAGGAACGTTGTTTCAAAACAAACAAATTTAAAAAAAGAAATGAAGGGAAGAATATACGAATTAAAAAAAAAAGGCTTTCACACAAATAAAATTCAACTATGGTAAGAAAATCAGAGGACCAGTGGTGGGGTGGGAGGGGGGAAACTTCAGGATGTAGTAGCACTTCTCATCTTTGTTAGGGTTGTGAAGATGACACAACATAAACATTTTGAAACTCTAAGTCACACAACTCAGGTCAGCACATTTTACTGTTTGTAATTTTATTCCTTAGTAAAACTGATTTTAAAAGTAAAAGTTAAACAGCTCGTTATGGTGCACACATTTAATCTGAGCACTTGGGAGGCAGAGGACAGCCAGAGCTACACAGTGAGACACTATCTCAAACAAACAAACAAACAAACAAACAAACAAGCAAGCAAGCAAGCAAGCAAGCAAACAAACAAACAAAACGTAAAAGTTAAGACAAGAATGGTGGCTTATGTCTACAACCCTAACACTCAGGTAGCTAAGGCAGCAAGTTCTTGAATTTGAGGCCTGCCCAAACTATATAGTAAGCCCCTGGCCAGCCTGAGCTACATACAAACTCTGTTTTAAACAAGTGTGGAAATAAGAGAAACAAATCACTACCAAGTTTATGGCCTTGATAGTCTAAAGTCTCCAACACCACATCAGGAGGGTAAATTCCCTGGCCCAACTGTTGGGAGCTGGGCCAGTTTCTAGGTTTTGTTTTGCTTCATTTTACTTGTGTTCACTTAGTACTACTATTCTGTCTCATCAGTAAATTGCTTTTCTTTTTATTCCCATAAACACATATCTATTCCTAAGCATGAGGGACCAGTACAAAATTATGGAAAGTGAGCACAGATGCTGGAAACAGGGTAGTCCTCCACCATAACCATCTATGGCCTATATCACATGCATGACTCGGTTTTTAGATATAGTTATAAGACTGCAAAATGAATCAGCTTCAGAGTCACACCTTCATACCCAGGCATGGAGCTACAGCTTCCCTGTTCTGCATCTATACATTTTTTTTTTCAGCATTAAGGAGCACGACTATAATATTCCCCCCAGAAGTCACAATTCTAGGCATATTTTTAGAACGGGCAGATCTTTGCCATAGTCATATTCAATCAAAAGCAAAGTTTTCTACTCTTGATTCTGATGGTCATAATCAGAGTCTACATTCAGCAAGCAGAGAACATGCTAAGCATTCAGCTCAATGTATCCCCAGGCACTAAAATAAAAATCTTTTATCACCTGCTGGATTGGTGAATACTGAACCTAGAACAGTTGTTTCCTGTCAGAGACAACCAGGATAAAGGTGTGGTCATTTTATCTAAGTAATCACATTCATAGGATGTAGCAAGAATAAATAAACAGGCAAAACAAGGAGAGGGGGGAAGAAACACTCAGAGGAAATCACAGAAACACAACCATGACACTAACCAGTCTGGAAAGAACAGGTGTAAGCAGCCAAGGACTGAAGAGGTGTACTAGAGGAGCCACTGGACAGACAGAGCCCAGCCCACTACAATACATAAGCCTGAGTACTCAGTAAACAACAGTCTTCATGGTGACTCTGGGATAAGAGAAGGCATCTGTGTATTCAGTGCTCCTTAACACAGAACACACATGGTCCAGAACCTACTCAAAGACACCAGGTATGCAAAGCACCCCACATCTAAATATGGGGTAAGCAACTGGCATTACACCAGTTACAATGTCCCAGAGCACTCTGTAAAACCATCACATAGGTTTAAGACAGAGTTTTGCTTGGTAGCCCAAACTGGCCTTGAACTTGTGAACTTCCTGTCTCAGCTTCTTAAAGTGCTAGGATTATAAGCATGCACCACTGCAGCTAGATATAAATGGAATTACAAATTATCAAAAACATTCTAAACAGGATATTATTATAAACACTCTCCTTAAGGAGAAGGCCATGGTTTATTCATGGACTCATTATCACAGACCAAAATTCTGTACCTCTCAATTTTAATTAGTTCATGACTCAATCTCAGTTCCTCACTCCTTTCCCCACCTCTCCCAAATAAGACATCACCCTCTTTTTCTTTTTAAAAAGATTTATTTATTTATTTGTTTATTTATTTATTTATCATGTATACAGAGCTTGCCAGAAGAGGGCACCAGATCACATTACAGATGGTTGTGAGCCACCATGTGGTTGCTGGGAATTGAACTTAGGACCTCTGAAGAACAGTCAGTGCTCTTAACCCCTGAGCCATCTCTCCAGCCCCCATCAACCTGTTTTTCTACAACAAAACTTTTCATCCTTTGTTTTCTTATTTTTCTGTGCATCTCAGCTCAAGTAACAATATGAACTTAATAGTTGCCAAATGATGCCAGAAACATCTGTGGACTAATTGCCCCAGAACAGCTCTGAACATCTACTCAATAACCCCAAAGGTCAGACCACTCCAGCCTTAACAAGTGTCCCATTATTTTGTCAGTATGACCTGAAGACAAATCATACCTCTCCCTTTTCTCTGCATCATAATCCTTTGAACAATTTACACATGTCTGAAGTGAATAATGCCCTCCTCTGGACACTCCAACACTCACTTCAGACAGCAAGTGCAGAGGGAACACAGCTTATTCAGCTCCCATCCCAGTGCCTCCTTCAAACAATTATGGGCTGTTTCCTTGGAGAAACCCTAAGAACTGATTCCCTTACTCTTCCTACCCCACCTAATGGAAGCAGCATGAACTGGTTACCAATGGTTGGGGGCTGGAAGCCAACATGGGTTATTGGCAACTCTTGTTCCAGCATCTTCACTTAGGAAAGTCTGACCAAGGAGATATGCCACTGCTTGAGACTAGGCACTTATAATCAGGACAGTTGGTAATCTGTCTGCTAGAACCTGGACCCAAGTGGTGTGTATCCATTTAATCCTGATATTGTCCTGTTTGACCCACCCCCCTCTGTAAATGGAGGCTGCAGCTGAGCAACTAAGCAACTTCACCCAGGTCAGGTTCCTCTAGAGTATTATCAAAGCCCACACTCAACAGTAGGCTGCAGTCTGGCTTTTACAGAGTCATTTGCTATCTGGCTGCAAGACATAGGCCGTAACAACATAGGGCACGGGAGATCTTAACTTTTAGATACTATCCAGAGAAAGACAGATTTGGGCAGACCTTTACACTTGCTGTTTGAAAATTACATAAACACTGAAGTATGCAGCAGTATTTATTACCTGGGCTTACAGTCAGCTGAAAGCAATGAAGCTTGTTTGGATCAGGAAAATGTACTTTACATGTACCTGAAAAAGAAATAGCCATTAGGAAGGTCTGGAGTGAGCAGCTGTCCACACTCTGCGCTAATCTTTGAACACACAGAAGCCAGTGGTTGCTGATTCACAAGGTAACTAGTGGGTCGCTATACTCCAATGGTTTTGTTGTTGTTTTTGCCATTCTAGTCTTACTAGTTAATTCCAAATCAAGGTATTTACTGCAACTTTTAAATGTTCACTAAATAATCTTTTTATTAGAGAATTATGCTATTTACTCTGAAAAAAACAATCTCTCAAAGATATTAATGTATGTAGGTAAAGGCTAGCTAAACAAGGAAAAACTGGGAAAAGAACCAGGTCAAACTTTTTCTGTTCAAGGAGATTCACAAACATGCATGCCCATGATCAGAAGTAAAGTTAGAAAGGAAATGCCTTAGAGTTAGCTGCCACCCAGCATTTACAGTAACACTGGAGGAAAAAAAATCTCAGGGATCCACCTGCCTCTGACTCTAGAGTGCAGGGAATACTCATTTTTAAGCCTATCTGGGAGGCAAAGGAAAGCAGACCTCTGAGTTCAAGGTCAACCTAGCTTACATAGTGAGACTGTCTCAGGAAAGCAAAAAACCAAAACTTCACACTTAACTGGTTAAGTCAGCTTGCTCTGTGGGAAGGATGGATGCTTTGCTCAGTCAGTAGCAATGTTCTGGGCCTTGTAGTCCCCAACCAAGAAGGGCCTGAGTCAGGACAAGCTCACCACCATGAAAAGTCACCAAAGTCAAGGATATAGTCAAGGGAAGCTGTCTATCGCACTGTCTGCCTCCTTTACAAAGGACATGGGACAGCTATCGCTTATGAAAGGTCTATGGATCTGTAAAGAATACTCAGGAAATTTCCCTATGTTCATGTAACTCAGAAGATACAAGTATACATATCTTAGTGTACCTAATTAAGGCTATTGCTTACAAAAGCCCCACTTGTTCAGTTCTATACTGATAAATTTTCAACAAAAATAGGTTTCAAATATAGTGAGAAATAACCTTAAAGACCATCTATAAGTCAACATACCAAAAAGTTACTTGTACAAATGCATTTATAGCTACATTATTCACAAGAGCCAGGAAGCAGTACCATTAGCATTTGAGTAAAGAAAATGTACATACACATAATAGATCCTCAGAGGGGTCCAGTGACTAGTCTGAGATCACAGGCTATTCATTTTGGCATTTAATAAGCATATCATATGTAAAAACATTGAGATAAAACACAGAACAATTTAAGACTGAGATGGACTTTCTTTTTATAGTGGGGGAAAAAACCCTCGGTCTACAGGATAAGAAGCAGTTTCAGAAATACCCTACCATAATCTTTACTTTAGAAATAAAGAGACTCAGGCTGGAGAGATGGTTCAGCAGTTAAGAGCTCTGGCTGCTGCTCTTCCAGGGAACCAGGGTTCAATTCCCAGCACCGACATGGCAGTTCACAACTGTTTGTAACTCCAGTTCCAGGGGATCGGATACTCTCTCACAGACACACAGACAGGTGAAGACACCAATGCACATAAAATAAAAATAAATCTTTAAAAAAATAAAATACATGTTTAAAAAAATAGAGACTTGAAGCAATAGGTCAAGACTTTCTGCAAAAATCACATTTAGAACTATGTATACTAAAAACAAATTTCATTACCTTATCTTTTCAAAATTATTTTTTTTTTTTAGACTAACAAAGCACTGGGTTTCAACATGGCATCTTCATGCATCCTTATTCATTACCCTCACTTACTCTTCTTCCCCACCATCCTTTCCTCCATTCCTGTCAAACTGGTTTCCTTTCTTCCTCTTGTTACTTCCAGCTTCCTTTTCCTTTTCCATGGAATATATTACCTCATTTTTCATGTTAGTCCCTTCCTAGTTTTGAGAGCTCCCCCTTACAGATATACTTGTATAATTTTACATCTAGTTTTTGCATATGAGAAAAATGGAGCTTATGAGCCTCCCTTATTTCTCAAAGATCCCCAGATGTATTCATTTTCTTGCAAATGACTTCATTTCTCTTTACAGCTACATAAAATTCTATTATGTGTATATACATTTTCTTTACTAAACACTACTTCCTGGTTATTGTGAATAATGTAGCTATAAATGCATTTGTACAAGTAACTTTTTGGTATGTTGACTTACAGAATCCTTTGAGTATACACCTAAGAGTGGTATAACTGGGTTATATCTAAGTTTTACTTTCTTTCTTTCTTTGTTTTTGGAAGAACTTCCATGTTGATTTCTACAGTGATCACACAAGGTTATTCACATCAAGAGTGAGTAAGGACTGTCTTTTCCCACATCCTCGGTAGCATGTCTTGTCATTTGTTTTCTTGATGACACCTATTGCAACTGGTTATATCCCTAAACAGTTTGAATTTGTAGTTCTCTGATGGCCAAGGACGCTAAACACTTTTTCAAGAATTTATTGGCCATTTGTATTACTTCTTTTGAGAGCGGTCTAAAATTTACTAGCCTGTTTATTGATTGATCTGGGTTTTTGTTGCTTAGTTTTTACAGTTCTTTGTATAGCCTGGATATTAATCCCCTGTCTGATGCAGAGGTGGCAAAGATTTTGTAAACCATTTAAAATTATCAGTGTGTGTAGACGTCTATGTGTGTATACACATGATGTACGTGGGTGCACATACCATGGCACAAATGTGGAAGTCGGTAGACAACTTACTTCATAGAGCTGGTTCTCTCCTTCTACCTTTACACAAGTTCCAGGAATATAACTAAGGTCTCCAGGCTTGCGTGGCAAGTGCCTTTACCCTTTGAGTTATCTCATGGGCCCATGGCAAAGAATTTTCTATCTATTCTGTATACTGTCTCTTCTCAATGGTGACTGTTTCCTTCCTAATTTTATATACTCCCATGTTAATTCTTAGGATTATTTCCTATGTTCCTGGACTCCGTGCTAGAGAACCCTGTCTAAACTATCTTGAACTATTTTATCTTAACCTTATTTTGAAAACAGAAACAGCATCCTTTGAAATACAGGTAAGAAAAGATAAAGGCTTAGTAATTTGAAATTGGTTTCTCCATTTGTTTTGGCATCTTTTTTTCTTTTAATGAGAGTTTAAATGTGGAATCTCTGAAATGGATTAGCCTTCTAAGAATACATAAATGAGTAAAACAAAGTTTTAAAAAAAATCAATGAAACCACCAAGATCAAGCAAAGCTTAAGAAAAGAAATGCATGCATGCATACAGGCATGCGAGAGTGAGAGTGTGTGTGCGCGCGCCCACACACACACACACACACACACCCAAGAGAGTGCAAACAAAGAGCTTAAAATGCTAGATTTAGTCTTCTTTATATACAACAGGACCTATCTAAGGAGATGAGCATTTCCAGAGAAGCCTCTATGCACTTGTACATACAGAGCTCTGAGGTCATTCTGCAGTTACTAATCACACTGCTACATAGAAAGCTATTCTTATGGCTCTGTAAATACTTCAGAAAAGCTTTTAAACAGACAGGGAAGAATTAGTCTGTGGTGGCTTGTTTCTTCTTCAGGATAATGAGTGGCAGATTTGTGGAAAACATGGGGAAAGAGGAGAAAGAAATAGTAAAAAGCAGAACAAATAATGTGTGCAATCTGCTATCTTAGCCATAGCATGGAAAACCGACCACATCTTTTCCAGATCCTTCAAGATTCACAAACACACAAGCTAGTTCTAAGTGGACACTTTCTGTGTTCTCTAATGAAAAGACACTTTGAACATACATGTATGAGCCAAAGACAGTGGAAAGACTAAACTACAAAAAACCAAAAAACCAAAAAAACCACTGTGTGGTCCTTTTACTATAGGAAAGTATCCTAACACACAGGCAGGGAGACAGTCAAACAAGCTTATCTATCACCTGGCTCCAGGCCGCTGCCACCCTGCTTGTCTATCAGACCCACGCACATTTACTTTCCTAAGCATTTTTTTTTTTTTTAAAAAAAAAAAAAAAAAAAAAAAAAAAGGTTTTTTTTTTCTTTGTGTAGCCCCGGTCTGTCCTGAACCGCAGACCCCCCCCTGCCTCTGCCTCCTGAGTGCTGGGATTAAAGGTGTGTTAAAACACACCTTTTCAATTTTCCCTTAGTAGGTAGAATTACTCCTCCCACCCCCACATCTGGGATTGAAATCAGGGCATTACAAATGCTAGGCAAGTACTCTGCTACTGAGCCATCCCCCAGCTTCAAAATTAAACGTTTCAATAAAATTCCCAGACAATACCTTCAGTTCTGAATGAAAGTAACTTTGAGGTCAATCCACAAAATTTCAGGATGTTTTAGCTGAGGTCCATGGAATAAATATATTTTCTATCATAATCCACTCTTCCCTCACACAAATGTTAGACATCAAAAGTGATTGTTCAGCCTGGCCAGGTTGTGAACACCTTTGATCCCAGGAGGCAGAGACAAGCAGAGCTCAGATTTGAGGCCTGTTTGATCTATGTAGTAAGTTCCAGACTATCCAGGGCTCTACAGCAAGGCCTGTCTTAAAACAAAAACCCTTTAACAACTTGCCTCTGCCCTCACAAACTAATTTCACAACCACCCAAGGGTTGCAGGCCACCAACTTTAGGTGCTGGTGGGAATGAAGCCTCTCCAAGAAATATTAGATGGGACTCCACATCAAAACCCAAGTCCTCTGCAATAGTCACACAAACAGAAAACCCATACACAACATTATGTTACCTGTATTAGCAGGCATCCTTAGACTCAGAACTACTTTTAAACCAAATAACACAACAAAAAGTTTTAACAAATAGTAAAATCGGTCAAAGCTTTCAGACTTTCAAAGACATATAAAAGATTGTAAAAGATTTTGGGGAAGATTAGTGATAGAAAAATAGAATCTGATATACATTATCCAAGTACATTTCTGAATTACACAGCTAGACCCATGAGTTGGCAGGAAAGATGGAGCAAGGGAGATATATGTGGGTGAAGAGCTGTGCAGCTGCCTTTCCTCAAACATAAAAACACCTTCTGGACCAAATGGGAGCATACCCCATAAAGCAAGGTGGTGAGCTCACACTCCTCTCCTCTCAGGGAGGAGGAAGAACAGCGGGCAAATGACAAAACATGCTTCCATAACACTGAGACAGTATTCTACATATGCTATTCAGAAGGACTAAAGAATCTCTTGGTTGTTTTTGAGACAGGATTCGTCTACATAGCCACAGCCATCCTGAAATTCACTATGTTACCCTGTCTGGCCTGGAACTCAGAGATCCACCTGCCTGTCTCCCAAGACATGTGCCACCACACCCAGCTAGAACCTCATTTTATTAGATATGCAAACAATTCTTCTTGAACAAAATTAACATTCATTCCGAACATACACAAAATAGGTTTTTTGCTATTCAAAGTTATTAAAACAAGTTTTCTTCATGTCATCACTACATAGTACTAATTTGACCAGTGTGCTATACTTACAGGGTAAATTAGCTTCAAGTTCTGCAACTTCTGTAAAAACAAAGAGACTGTGGTTAGTATCGATCTTCATATTATCAGTTTTAAAATAGCAATTTCTTCTATGATTACAGAAGAAAAGAAGTAAGCAAGACAATTTGAAACCTGGTATAAAATTAATACATTAAGCCATTTAGTTTTCATATATACAAGGTGATATGCAGAGTACCAACCAATAAATGCAGCAAAAAAAAAAAAAAGTTTAACTCATCACTTTAATCAGAATGAAAGCATGTCACATCAACACAGCAACTGCCTACAGGTAAGCAGTGACAACAGTGCTTTTAAAAAATGGCTCTTCCTAAGCAACAGATCTACTTTTTTCAAACCGTGATTCTATGTCTTTTCTCAAATGTACCTTCAAGTTACCTCCTTGTAACTTACATTTCTTGACCTCAGTCCTCTCCCATGAGACTTCAGACCATCCAATTCACACCTTCAGTAACTTACTGGTGTTTAAACCCAGCATCCTTCCCCAGGTCAAAACTACAGCTCTCCTTCCCAGTATCTTGCTATCAAAAGAGCCAAGATCTCAATCTCTACCATCTGGTTGATAGAAAACAATAGCTTACTCTCATCACTCTTCTACAGAGCACTAGAGGAAGTAGAACCATCAGGGCTGTTTACAGAAGACATATTACACAGAGAAGGCCTGGATTCCAACAGCAAACATTAAACATTAAAACTAACACTAGGTGTGGTGGTGCACACCTTTGATCCCAGCATTCGGGAAGCAAAGGCAGACAGATCTGAGTTCGAGAACAGCCAGGGCTCTGTTACACAGAGAAACCCTGTCTCAACGCGCCCCCCCCCCCAACACACAAAAAGAAGTCCTAATAAATAAAACCAAAGAAAAGAAGAACAACACACAAGAAACATTGATAATGGACTATTTAAAATAAAAAAGCAATGTCAGGTGTGGTGGTATACGCCTGTAATACAAGCTCTCTAGATGTTCAAAGCCATCCAGTAGTTCCAGAACTATATCCTGTCTTTAAAAAATAAAGAGGTACATAAAAACAAGAGGGAAGGAGAGGAAAAGGAGGAGAGAAAGAAAAACTAAGGGATGGAGGTAGCTAAGGGGTAGAATGTTCTCTATGGGAGGCCCTAGGTTCAATCTCCAACTCTGTACAAAGAGACAAACTGAGAAAGCAATCCCATTTACCAAAAATATTATTCAGAACTAAATTTAATTATAGGGATGAAAGATCTGTACTCTCAAACTGTAATCTACTGTGGACAGAAACTAAAGACTAAACAAATGGGACCCACCACCCAATGAAATTCAGACACTATGCAGGCCCCATCACAATTTCAGTGGCATTCTTCATAGAACCTCTAGAACTGGAAAGACCCACAGAATCTTGAGGATGAACAACAAAGTTAACACCACTCTTTCTGACTTCAACTTATATTTCACAGATATAGTAACCAAAACAATTATCATGGGCATAAAAAGAGAGGCCAACAGAATAGGGGGAAGTTAGAGCAAATCTATTAACACATACAGTCAAATAACGTGCAAAAGCATCAAGACAACATGTGGAAATGAGGACCTCCTGGGAAGAACTAGATGTCCTTACACAAACTATCAAAATGAATAAAAGGCTTAAGCATAAGATGTAAAATCCCCAAGGGTGGTGGTGGAGTAAATTCTCCAACCTGGCTTTAGCAATGACTTTTTTGTTGTAATTTTTTTAAAGCTCAAATAAGAAAAGCAAAAATGGAACAGTGGGACCACATTAAGCTAAAGTACTACAGCACAGCAAAGAAAAGGTGTGGTCTATATAGACAGGCTAGGAGGAAATGTCTGCAAATCATGCAGCTGAGGAGGGCTTAATGTAAAAGATATGGAGCACACACAACAGAAAAGAGTAAAGAATAAAAAATACAAATCAGGCAGAGGACCTGCACAGACATTTCTCCAAAGAGAAAAATGGCCAACAGTCTTATGAAAAGACACTCAGCAGTCACTATGCATTAAAACAACACCATGACTGCTATCTCACATCTTTCCAGTTTGGCTACTACTAGAGATAAGAGGTAACAACTGTGGTGAGAAAACAGAAAATGGAACCCTCATACAATATGCAAAGGAATGTCAATTAGTAGTTATGAAAAACAGCAGTCCCTCAAAAACCTAAAAATAAAGGGAAAAACAAAACTACTACATGACCTAGCAACCCTTCTGAATATATACTAAAAATAAATGAATCAGTACCTTTTAGGAGTGGTTCTCAACCTATGCATACCAGGTGTTTACATTACCCTTCATAACAGTAGCAAAACTACTGTTATGAAGTAGCAATGAAATAATTTTATGGATGGGGTCACCACGACATGAGCAATTATATTAAAGGGTCACAGCATTAAGAAGGTTGAGACCACTGTTTTAGAAAGACAAACACTCCCATGCTCATTGCAGTTATACCCACCCCCCATCCCCGCCAGCCCAAGACAGGGTTTCTCTGTGTAACAGCAACAGCCCTGACTGTCCTCAAACTCACAGAGATCCACCTGCCTCTGCCTCCCGAATACTGGGATTAAAGGAGTGTGCCACCACCTCCCAGCCGACTGCAGTTATTTTTCATGATAGCCAAGATACTGAATAATGAACTGTGGGATGAGAGCAATGGCAAAGGGTACAAAGTCAGGGTTATGTAGGGATAAGTCCAGAGTGCTAATGTGACCACACAGGAAATGGATGTATGAATTCCCTTGATTATTAACTGTTTTACTATGTATACAGCATATAGGTTTGTAAAATCATAATTAACCACAAGTAAAGTATTATTGGGAGGGGGCACAGGATATGACACCCTCCAACAAACAGGCCAGCAAAGCTATCTATGCCTTGGACAGAATGTAACATAGTCTAGGTCTTTGGTTGAGTAAATTCTGAGACTTGAGACAGACAGGAAGTCTCCAAGCTGCTTTAAAGAACACATAAAATTTTAGTTCCACGTAGATGGGGTACAAGAGCATCCCAAGCAGGTAGAAGGCAGAAAGCATATGTATTGGCAAAGCAATAGACCACATGACAGCAAGGTGATAGGAAATGAGGTACAAAAATAAGGACAGGATCATGAAAGAGCCCAAGGAAATTCAAGTTCTTAAGTTTTGCCTCAAGGGAACAACAGTACAAAAAAGGGCAGGAGGGACAAGTGACCTCTGCAACCTGCAGCAAGCACCAGGTGAAGGCAGGTTAGTAAGAAGCTAGAGAGCACCGTGGACCAGACCTGGTTGCTGGCAAGTGAAATAACAGAAATTCAAGAGAAAAAAAAAAAAAAGTAAAGCAGAGCAGAAAAGGGAAGACAGGTTCCTGGCCAAAAGGCCCAGCATCAAGACAAGCCCTTCAAGAGAAGTAGGAAGGCATGCTGAACGCTGCAGATGTGAGTGGGAATTTGAGTTGAGTGAGGCTCAGGGTATGGAGACCCTTGGGTTTACATATATTAGCACTGTGTGTGAGATGACAGAGCTCTGGGTGGAGACAGGTAGCCCATTTGGTGCCTCTGCCTTAGTGTTCAGCAATCCAGACCAGATACCCAGCAAAGGTGATTGGCAGGAGGAGCCAGGGCAAGGGCAGAGCCCACATCACTTCATGTTCCAGGGTGCCAGAGCCAATGTGCTACTACAATGATATTCTCATGCTGAGAAAAAGGAAATATAAAATCCACAGAGTGGGTCAAGGGGTGAAGAGGATCATTCTCTTGCTGGGGTTGGTAAGGCAGCAAGTTCTATCACTGACCACAAACTTTGAGTCCACTCTCTTGGCAGTCTAAGTCACAGGTACTTTTAAAAAATACTTAAGGGTTGGGTATGGTGGCTCATGCCTATAACACCAGCACTCGATATGCTGAGGCAGAAGGATCTTCAACTTGAAGCCAGCTTGGGTTATACAGTGAGACCCTTTCTCAAACAAAAATAAGTCAATGGAGGTAATAAGTCTGTGAAAGTTGTACTGTCACTATGTTTCTGACTGTAGTGACTCTGAACTGTTTTTGTCAAAGGCTAAAGGCTGCTCTTGCCCTTCCTGGGAGAGACAGGCAGAGAGCTAAGACCACAAATGAGTCATTCACATTCATCATTTTCACATCATCCATGAAACTAAACCGTTTTTGAAGCAAATACCAGCATATTCTATTGTCATCCAGATTCACCTTCTGACAACTGGAACTCTGCCCACCAGGTATGAATTTCAAATGAAACAGATTATGACCAGCAGAAGCAAAAGGTTCAAGAGGATAGTGCAGTGCCACAGGATGAAGAAGAAAGACTGGGTGCGGGAACAGGCATAGTATGGGCAGGAGGACTGGAAGGAACCGAGCAGATGTCTTGACCAATGTTCACTTCTCTTCTGGAAGTGGTGTGGGTATACTGGAGATTAAAGATCCTATCTCGAGCAGGTGTGGCGGTGCACGCCTTTAATCCTAGCACTCAGGAGGCAGAGGCAAGCCATCTGAGTTCGAGGTCAGTCTGGTCTACAGAGTGAGTTCCAGGACAGACAGGGCTACACAGAGAAACCCTGTCTCAAAAACAAAAAAAGAAAAAAAAAAAAGGGGGGGAGGGACAGCACTGGAGAAATGGCTCAATGGTTAAGAGTACTGGCTGTTTTCCCAGAGGACCTAGGTTCAATTCCCAGCACCCATATGGCAGCTCACAACCTGTCTGTGTGGGGCTCCAATACCCTTATAAACAGACATACACGCAGACAACCAACACCAATGCACATAAAATAATAAATAAATCATTATAAAAAACAAAAACAAAAGACCTGTGGGGTAGTGATGGCACACATTTTTAATCCCAGCACTTGGGAGGCAGAGGCAGGCGGATCTCTGAGTTTGAAACCAGCCTTGTCTACAAGAGCTAGTTCCAGACAGGCTTCAAAGCTACAAAGAGAAACCCTGCCCTGAAAATAAATAAACAAACAAACAAATAAATAAATACCTTAATCACATCAGTACTTAGAGTGTTTTGCTAATGTGATTCTA